GTACTTTGCACACAGTTCCTGCACCTGTTTTACTCTTCTTTTTAGTTTAAAGAAGATTCAAGAAATACTTGTTATACTTATATTACCGTGAAGACAATATTGTTTAATAACTAATGCTACAATAACATTCCGCACGATATGTCTTCATTGATCACCATCGCATTTGATCAGTGGAACACTTTTCGTGCACAATTATTAGAATTTTCTGCATGTTTCCCCATTTTTTCTCTCCATCTTGTCACTTCATTCAGGATTGCATCGAAACGACAGTCTCCCTGAAGTCGTTTCTAGGAGAGGCTGGTGTAGTGCCCAGTAAACTTGGTCATAATTTCTATCTGTTGTAAACTTATATTCACTGTTGACTGCAATAGAATGATGAATAACTTTTAATGTACTCGTTTGATTTGCCCGCTAAACTCGCCTACTAGAGTTTCCGGAATAGAAGCGTTATACTTCTACTACTGCCTTTTTACTCGCTACGTTGTGGTTGTCTAAAGCAAATCGTTCATAGCGTTAAGCATAAGCCTCTGGGTCCAACAGGCCCTGTGTCATGCAGTGGAAGCCAATCTCCTCCTCCAGCATCATGATAGCAAGGTTCAACCAAAAAAAGGAAATTCATGATCATATAGCGCTGGGCGCCAACGAATACTGCGGCACAGGGGAAGGGCTAAGCATTCTAGAGGCAACTGCAATTAGTACTGGACAAGACCCCAGGCCACTTGGCCAAATCAGAATTCTAGTGGGTGAAATGAATGCCAAACTCAGAGCAGACAACACAGGAAGAGAACTCATCATGAGTCGAGAAACACTCAGTGAAATAATGAATGAGGATGGAGAACTGTTTGCAGATTTCTGCGCATTCAACGATTTGGTTATTGAAGCAAAGTACACATACACAAGAATATTCACAAAGCGACATGGACTTCACTGGCCGGACACACTACACTAAGAATCAGGTCGACTTAATCTCAATGTGAAGAAAGTGGGCACTCAGCCTACTGGACACAAGATCAGATCGGATGAAGAAGGGGAACAGATGTAGGTTGACACCACTCACTTCACTATCTAGTGCAAGGGACCTAACTTCAAGATCAAGTTGAAAGCCTTCGATTCAACGAAGTTGGTGATAGACGACCACAGTTGAAGTTGAACACTGAGAACAGAAAGTGAGGGATGAAACTACACGGGACATCTTCACGTCAGTCAGTCATTAGGACAAAATGCGAGATATTGAGCAACATCGCCAGGAAACCTGTGTGGAAGAACACTGGACTCTTTGAAAGAGAAGTGTAAGGAAACCTGCATAACCACATGAGGAGGGAAGAAGAAGAAGAAGCGAGACAAGGAATGGATCTGGACAGACACATGGAAGCTGATAGAAGAGAGGAGAGTGAGATGGTGAAGCAGAAGATGAAGCAGTGCAGTGTAGTGCAGGTATGAACAACGAAAAGAGGAAATGAACACAACCTATAAAACACCACACTGGACAAAGAGGTGAAGAGGAGTGCGCGCAACGAGAATAGACACTTCTACGATAAACATGCAAGTGAAGCAGAACAGACTGCTGGTATGAGAGAACTTACAACATTACGTCATCATTACATAGCCAGGCTACAATCTGGGAGGGGAGAGATCAACACAAATGAAACGAATGAAAGAAAGTTACTTACCAAAGAGGAGAAACAAAGGAAACGATGAGCTGACAGCTTCAAATGTCGCTCGAATCGTCCACCACCACCATCTGCAATTCGTCTACAGATACCACCAGCAATTGAGGAACTACCGGTGAACTTAGGCCCTCCGACAAAAGCGGAAGCCCCGAATTCCATAAAACTGATGAAATCCGGGAAATCAGCAGCACAAGATGGAATTCCCCAGAAGCACTGAAAATAGACGCAGAGACAGCGGCAGCGAACACGCTCACATCAATATTGCAGAATACATGGAAGAAAGGAAGGGAAGGTAGGTGCAGATTGAAAGAAGGGCTATCTCGTCAAACTCCCAAAGAGGGGAGACCCAAGTCTTTGCAAGAACCGGCGGAGGATCCTGCTCCTGTCCACCCCAAGCAAATGATTCTGTTGGCCGAAAAGTAGCTCGACGGTTGCTTCAACATTAAGGAGTACCACAAATCTTTGTCAAATGAAAACACCACATGCCATGTAATCCGAAATGAAAAGCTGGTGACGCCTTGGAAGTAGGGACAGGAGTAAGACTAGGCTGCCTATTATCACATTTGATCTTGATTGCGGTCGCCTGGATCATGCAACGAACGGTGCGAAGTGAGGAGAAGGGGCTTTGCCCGCTAAACCGATGGAAGAAGCCTCGAAGATTTGGATTTCGCCGACGATTTATGCTTAGTGTCCCCCAAACTCGAATACCTACAGGCGAAAACCAACAAGTTGACAGAAGAGGCGATGAGGCGAAAACGGGACTTCAAGTGAATGTAGAGAAGACGAAGGTGAGGAAGATGCCCGACCAACATCTGCATCAACAACAGGATGCACCAATCACCATTAACGAGAGGAACCTAAAGAGAGTAGTCTCTTTCACCTGCCTGCCTAGGTGCCATCGTCTCAACTACAGGCAGCACGGATGAGGATGTCAAAATTAGGCTCGGAAAAGTGAGACAGGCTTTCACTGATCTGGAATCACTGAGGACGTCTACCGCTGACTGTCGGGACTACTGGCCTTTTAGCTGAAATAAAGGAAACCAATACATGTTATTTTTCTCGGCCTAAATGAAGCATTTGACTTTGTCCGCCTACAGCCCCACTGCAAAAGATCGAGTCAGGCAGCAAAAGCGAACCTGCGCTCTCTTGGTGCAAAGTGTACCTAAAGGATAGACGGTGTTGCACCAAAATCAGCTGAATATGGTCAGAGTGGAGGCCACTGACACCAGGGTTTCCCAAGGAGCGGACTCCAAATTACTTCTGTTCCTACAGCTCGCAAGCGATCTATCACAAAAGTCTCCTCACCCATCCTCCTTTTTGATGAAGACATAAAAATTTGGGGACTAGTGAAAGAAGAGGCGGGCTGTGCAACACACCAAAACAACCTGCCGCTGCTAGAATTCCGGTCGTCAGAAGACTGCTTGAGCTTCAAACTGGATAAGTGAAAAGCAATGCACGTCACTACCCACAAAGCAAGGATTTCGAAATTCCGATACAAGCTGAGTAACGTGTCATCAGTAAGGTGTCCACGGAAAAACAGCTTGGGCTCAACCCCCTGGCATCTTGAGTGCAAGCTGTAACTACAAGGGACTGCCTTGCAGGGCGAACTCCATTTTGCCTTTCCGGCGCAGACAGCTTGATGCTCTCACCCCAGGAATATTTCTCAAAGTTTTCAAATCCCTCACACAGCCGCACCTGTAGGTCTTCCACACAGCAGCACCCCCAACACTCAATAGAGACCCCAACCTCCTTTGGAGCATGCAAAGATCCGTAACAAAACAACTTGTTGGAAAAAGGGGGAGGAGCACCCTGAAAGACTGATACGCATAATTCTCTTCATCCAAACCTACCACGGCCTGCAAGGTCACTTATCAGGCAAGTCAAGTAAATGGACTAGCCTCACTTCCAACATGGCGGTCACCGCACGGGAAACAAATCAGAGGACTAACACAAGGCCCAGGTCACACGTTTTCTCTTTTGGGGTGCGCTTTATGTAATGTTGTAGCTGAATGTAGTCACAAATCGCCGATCCAAGAGACAGCCACATTAGTTAGTGTGGCCTACCGGAGACGTATCAGCGGGTTACTGACCTAACCAGCTCACCGTCTCTTCCTCCTTACTTACAACTTGTCGCCTCTCACTCTTTGATACAACCACATTTTCTGTTGACTCCTTTCTAGTATCTAGAGTCACGCTATCTACTACTATCTTCCGGGCGAGTCATATATACTTTTTCCCACTACCTTGCTGTTCCTACTCAGCCATGAGAGCTGCAGAAAACTTGTGCTGTTGTTCTTAGTTGGCTAACGGAGCCCAAAGCGGGAACGTCTGCAGGGTGCGACGGCATTTCGAAACGATGTGTGAATACTCTAAGTGGCCCACTGAGCAACCTTTTTCAACACTCTTAAGATGAATAAAGGCTCCCAAGGCGGCTGAAACGCACCATCCTCTCTCTTGTCTTCAAAACGGGGACAGGCAGAGCCCGAACTCCCACCAGTCCATAGCACTTTTACTACTGATATGAAAGGTTATGGGAGTCGTGGTAGACGACCACACCAAGGAATGCCCGAGCACAAAGAAAGCCCTCAGCAATGTTCAACGCGGCTTTCGAAAAGGTGGGTTCTGGACCTTCAACCTTCTGACAGCCCATGATCACTGGACAACATAATGAGATGCGTCCGAATTTTGCCCAAAACCTTCACCACAGACTCATGCGCAATTCCAGCGCACGAAAAACTGGACTGGATATCCGTGACCAGTTCGAACAACTGTCCGGCAACTCGAAATCTGAAGAAGCCAACTGTACCACAGTCCGAGGCGAGCGGACCAACGCTTAACCTCCCATTCTGTATACCAGAGATGTGGCAGACGAGTGGCTGGATCTACTGCATCGGAATCTACCAAAGACCTGGAACTGTTCCGCTAGATCAAGAAGCGAGGGAGAGGGAATCAAATGGTTTATACAAGCTCGTTAAACAGATATTGGATATTGGACAGGGTGTTATTGTGGCTGTAGAACTACTTACATGGTGGTGAGTTCTGGGTGAAGATCAACAAAGTCTATTTGACTTAACGAACATCATCGTACGGTTTATCACAAGGAGTTATTCTGAGTTCGTTGGTGTACCCACTGTTTGTGAGTAATCTCCCAAGGAATGTCAGATCTCCGATATCCTTTGCGCTGACGACGTCGAGTTATATAGAGCAGTAACGCGCGGGACGGAATCGAATGCATTACGCTCACACTAGTGAGGTTGGATATCGAAAATTTTAAAAACTACGTGTGCTGTGCTTGCGTTATTGTTGCCATCACCATTTGTTTGTAACATTCGTTTTTCAATGCTGTCTGTGTTGAAGGTCGTGGTCACCTATTGATTTTCTGGAGATGGCTTTCTGGACACAAATGTTTTGTTACTTGTTCAGTGTCATATGTTCATATGTTCGAATTTTATTCAAATATATTGCTCGAAAAATTACAGGAAAGTGCGAAATTAGTCGCATAATAGCTAACTATACTAAAGGAGCTCCCAGAACTCTTGAAATAGGTCCGTTTTAATGTGGTTTTTAGTATTCTTATTCTAAAGAGAACTCCTTAAGAAAGTCAAAAAGCAATTCTATTCGAAAGGGGCTGTTTCTGGACAAGTCTACAGATGTTGGACCTTACGTAAAGCTTGTCATTAAGTTGAAGTGTATAAGCCTCAAAGGTCAACCTAAGTATGGTTATATACTCAAATTTATAACAGTTTTCCCACTGACTATATATACTGCATCAATCAGATCAATTCCTACCGTGAACTAACAAGCAAATTGGAGACGTTACGATCTACTGCTTTTAATTGGGATGATCATTATCACACCGAATTGCTTTCGAGGGTAGTCGATCAAAGAGTCGTTTGCATTTTTCTAGATGTGGGATTCGTTGTGTCCTCAAGGCGAAGATTCAACTCATAATGAAAAGCAGTGGACACTGCTGGGATTCCAGACGAACAATCCTGGGACTGATTTTCGCGGTATGGGTGTACTATCACTGGAAAATCTTGTGTAAGTTCTGCTTACTGATTTCCATTACCAAACAGTAAGGTTTTTCCTAAAGTAGTTGGTGATGCCTATTTCCTCTAAAGTGGTGACATTTATTCAGTCCCTTTGAATTTTATATTTGTGCAACACACATTGAACGACATCTTGAAACACAATACTTGTTTCATACCTATTATGCCAACTCTTGTGTAGTCACTACTGTACATTCTTCATATTTAGTTTTCACCGGATTTCGACCTAATATTTAGATGTAGTTGGAAGTGTTGCTATAATAGCACTATAGTCATACATACGATATAGCTGTATCTTATGTAACCTATCGTCGATTCCCATCTTTTAACCATGCTCTTTCGTGTTATTACTGATCTAATCATAGGATCTTTTAAAAGTCAACCAAATCAGTAAGGAACTGGTTAAAAGTACTACAAAATGTTCGGCTGTCAGTGAGGCTAGCTTGTTTACTTTTTAAAGTCAATGCGAAATTTACCATTGGAGTAAGCAGTGGAAGTATGCAGTTTTAGTTACAGAATAGTTCACCTTCATGGCGTTGTAAGTAAGATCGGAACTAAGCATAAGATGCAAAACATGACGTGCACAATATGACATAAGGTTCGAAAACTGACTTTAGTCAGTCTTAGGTTCTTATCCACCTTACTTGTGTATGTATCTATCAGCGATAGTGTTCGATGAAAGATTAAGTAGTTTAGTTTCACACCAAGCCTCTGATTAGTGCACGTTGCTTAAGGTCCCCACAAAATTTATATCAGTAGTCATATGGCGCTGAATTGGATTTTAAAAACTAGTATGGGTACAGAAACAATATATTTTGTCTTTTCTCATAATGAGCATTAGGACAGTTGAGAAAGAAATCAGTTCTACTGCCTGTTTCTCTTTCTGGTGCGCAATTTGGTTCAGTCACCTTGTTGCTGATGACGTGTTGTGTGTATGAACTGAACTCCGTCTTCCTCAGACTAAAATATTAGTTAATAACAATAGCTCTTACATGATGGATGTGGCACATAACCTTGTATGCAAACCCGAGTTTCATTTCCTATGCATCTGTATTGTTACTCTACTGCCTGTAGTGTGGAAACCGTCTTCCTGTCATTTGTGTTAGGCAAAAAGGTAAGACCGCTAATTTGAACACGTTCGCTGTAAGTAGACTTCCGAAATCATCCACTGACTTAATCGTAATATATTTCAGTACAGCTTTGGCTTGTTAATGTCTGAAAAGTAGTTTTTTGACAATTGTGTGTCGTTATCACTCCATCTACTTGCTCATAATTTGTATTTTGAAAAGTCAGAGGAATTCATGTACGCCTTAATGATAAAACTTTGATCTGGTAAACAGAAGTACATCCCTCCTAGTCACTACACCTTGAATCAACATGAAAATAAGAATTGGATACGAAGCCAAATTTATTAAAGTAGTTGAAATTGTGTAAGCGGAAGGAGAATAAGTAAAAGGCAAGTGAAAATGTTCCAAATTTTGAAAACAACCAAGAAGAGGTACCATTTTGACTTATTTTGATCTGAATTACCAAAAGCCTGCAATTGTTGATGCTTATAATCTCGAGGACCTCAGCCTATTAAGAAGGAATTTTTTTGCATTGATGATCAGATCCGTATAATTAATTCATATGCATACTCACTATATTGGGTAGTCACTTCCACAATGTACTTCTCTGAACACTGAATGTGGATAGTTGAGTAGCCTTATTAATCTTTCACTCTTATTTATCACTAAAATATTAATTAGTTCAAAGATGTTGGTTTGTTTAATTTAATCTACAGTAGGGCAACTTGCATTGATTTGCACTATTCTGGCACTGGTGTTCAAATGTTTATTCCTAGCAAAGTCGGCTAAATTATTTCTTATTTACTTCTAATGGGTTGACTCACTTCTTTCTCCACATTTAAATAGTGTATGTAGTCAGGATATGTTTGAATATCTGCGTAATAAAACCGCCTCAGCATTCTACTGCCTTAGATGTCACTAGTAATTTCGGTCAAACTGATTGTGTTCGACGCATCTGTTTGATGTGTGGCAGAATGTGTCGGTCACTGCCCTTACTTAGGGGTTCGCATCAGCTTGAATAGGATGGGTGTTGGCGAAATGTAAGCTATGATACAAAAGGTCCATTTGGTGTTTGTCAATTTGCATCACCTCTGGCGCCGACTGATGAGAAATACAACTACTTATTTGAAGTTGGGGATAATGCATCATATTCCGCTCTGTCTTGTTATATGACTATGAGAAATACCTGTTGAAAGTAGATATGAAGGGATAACAGGTTTTTAACACAAATGTCTTCATAGCTTTGCTCAAGTATGGTGGAATCACCGTGTCAGGTTATGCGAAGGGTACTAGGCAAGGAAGGCAAGCCAATCGATAAGATTTTGAGTAGAGTTTTAGAGTAGATGTAAATCGGTTGACACGGTTATAAACCTTCGTCTGCTGAGATTGCTGGCTGGGACATGTGTTACGTATGTCTAGTCACACAATGTTGGCCGAAGTAGGCTCAGGCTGGAAAAAGGCGGGAAAGGGGCGGCTACACTAAAACATGGCATCAATATATGAAGTGTTTGACTATTAGTTTGAGCCATGTGGGCTGATGCAGACTGGGTGGTTGAGGTCTGCGGGACAAGAGAAACCAGTGGTTGGAGACTACTCTAGGTGATCAAATGGCTGATAATTGATGTCAGCGGTACAGACATATTACACACATTATCCTCATCTTAACGACGCTATACCGAGTCTCACCATTTTCTCATTCTTCCATTCTCTCTTTTTGTACTTTATATTTCCTTTGACTGAATTTTCTTACCTTCATCTTCCACTTGACTGCCTTTTTACCTGATATACGGATTCTTCAGTCTAAACTTTGACCTTTAACGTGATTGTTTTTCTATATACTTACACAGTCTTTTATATTCAATCCATCGACACGAATAGTCGTTCAAGCTGGCCTTCCTAACGGCGTACAATAGAACACAAAGTCTAGTGCTTATTGTCTGTATCTTTTCGACAATTTGATTCAATTTTATAGAGAACCAAATCTGTATGTAGAAGTGACCGATCATGAAGCACCGTAATTTATAAAAATGAGAGATAGTTTCAAGCATAAAAGTTGAGATAATCCACACTAATTTATTTCACTAAGCAGGCAGTGCTTATTTCCGAACTATAAGTCATACATAAATGGATAAGGGGTCAGTCGAAAGCTCTTGAACTAACCAAGCTATTCAATAATGTTACTCGGTCAGTCATAAGTAAAATAACTTTCAAAATACTCAGAATAATGTGACCAATGACAATTATCTGAGATTCACATTTTCCACTTTTCGGCTGATAAACCTCTGCATACTCTCCGTTTATTGGCTGCCTACTATAATAATAAGGTATCAGTTACCATGGCACCTATTGTCCAGTTTCATGTCAGTTTCTAGTGACAGTTGATGATGCGAACTGTGCCCAATTTCATTGTTTTCATAATGCATACTAATTAAAGCTGAAATCTGCTCTCAGAAACCTTGTGAACATTTCTCTGTCCTCTTATACGGCTGTGCTACATAGTCGTTAAAACCAGAAGGGTATGAAGCGGTTACAAGTGTCTTCGTACCATTGTCCCTGTTTGGTGGAATCGTCGTATGAGCAATGTGTAGATCAGGTGAAGGGTATTAGGCAAGACAGGTAAGTCAGTTGATGAAGTTGTGAACCTTCAGAGACTGATGTGTCTTGGACATGTAGTATACATGCCAAACCACCGCCCCTCTCGAGTTGAAATGCTGGTGAAAGTTGGCTTAGGTCGGAAAAGGGCAACCACACCAAGATCTAGCGCTAATCCATGAAGTTCCTGACCGTTGATGTGAGCTGTGTGGGGAGATGTAGACAACTTGACCGGGTCCCCAAGACCTTAGGAATGAGTGATTGAGATTTTTTGGTGACGTGGCTGAAATTGGTCGCAGTGATGCAGATATATTCACTCTTGAACAACTTTTAAAAGTTGAATATTTGCGCCAGGCTTTATTTTCAAACTGTTCATTCTCTCACACAACTTTATCTTCTTTGAGATGACAATTTTTCTATCCGCTTGTTCTTCTTATACTATTGTAAAGTGTGGTAACTTATGTACGAGGTTCTAAGTTCATTTTGTCTGTCTGTGCATAATCTTGCTACAGGGAAAGAGCCAAACCTTGACAGGTGTAGCTAGGTTGAGTTCGAACTCATAAGGTGGCTACCCAGTTGAATTAGCCGCCAGGATAATAAGAAAATTTACTAGATCGATATTCTTAAAACAGTTAGTTCCCGTTATAAACCTTTGACAAAAAAATCGGAAGATGTAAATTGTCTGAACCGTGTAATGTGTATTTGCGCAACACATTTCAAACAATCTGATCATACATGTACTTCTTATAGGTATTTATATAAAAAGTAAAGGCCAAATAACAATGAAAATCAATAAGGTGAAAATAATAATACATTGAGGTTAGTTTTCGTAGTTGAATTCACCAAGGGGGAGATTTAATGTGATAACAAATTGTTTATGAACACACAAAGGTGGCTCCAACTTTCAAATAGCTAAGGCCTCAATAAATTTAGACATCCCTTCTCAACATGTCTTGTACATAGGTGTAAAGGAAGTAGCTACATCAATCCCGTGACATGTCTCAAAGATATGTTTAGCGATCGAAGAACTTGGACATCTGCTACCAACGTTTATGGGTTCAGGCGATTCAATTCTCATGTGAAGCCACTTGGGAATATACTTCTAAGGCAAATCAAGTATTCTTTTTCTAACATTTATGTATTCAATAAAAGTACTAGTCTTTCTCTTCATGCAACAAACTGTGAAGAGTAATAAAATGGGCATACACTGGCTGAGCTGATGGAAAGACCCTAGGAGATTTGGATTTTGCCGATGATTTATATCTAGTGTAGCACAAGCTTGAAGATCTACAGGTGAAAACTAACAAGTTGGCAGAAGAGGCGAGGCAGCGAAGATGGGACTGACTTCAGATGAATGTAGAGAAGACAGAGGTGATGAAGATACCTAACTAACAACAACAACAAGCACCAATCACCATGGACAGGATAGATCTGAAGGAAGATCTATCTCTCAGCTGCCTACCTAGGAAGCATCGTTTAAACTACACGTGACACAGGCTCAGATGAGGATTTCAAAGCAACCAGGATCGGAAAAACAGCAAGATAGGCCCTCATTAATTTGAAATAATGTGGAGATCCACAACACTGCGCTTCGTTAAGCAAAAATCGTGAATAAGATCCGGATTTTAAACATTAATGTCAGTCAAGTCAGTGCTTCTATATAATGCGTCACAAAAAGCATTTCCAACAAACTGCAGACATACATCACATGAACAGCTGCTGCCCACGCTTACTCGATACTGAAGATGGAAATCAGATGGCCAGAATAATCAGAATAAGCAACAAGGAACTCTGGCCTGGCAATAAACCAACCAAGGACCCATCACTCAAAAAATATGCAGAAAAAAGTGAAGATGGACCGGGTATACACTAAGGAGATCATTTGGAAACATCGCACGCCAGGCCGCCGAGTAGAAGCCAAATGGGAAATGACGAGTTGGGCGTCCGAGGGTGACATGGAGAGTAGATCGTGATAGGAAGAAATGAAAGCTTCTGGATGGTGGTGGAGCCAGGTTAAGAGACTGTAAAGAAGAGAGTGGAATGGTGACGTGCTACTGAAGTCTTGTGTTCCACTAGAAACCCCAAGGGGCAAATAATAATAATAATTCTCTCTCTTCAAATGTATCCTTTCTTTGCAGATACTTTGCAGAAATGCATAGAAAATTGGCTCGAAGTATACTGTCAGCATCTAGTCATCCTAAAAAGTGGTAATTATTTTTAAAAGGATACACTATTTCCTGTCTAATTAGGTATCCATTTGCTGTTGCCGGTATCAATCTTACAAAATTATTATACAGTTTTATGCTGAGAGGTATTCTGAAGACACAATTTTATAATACAACTTCATCGGTCAGTATACAGGATTTCAATGAATTCTACTGTAAGTAGTAAATATTATTTTCTAGCGGTTAAATTGAGTTTCTTATCAATATTGTAAACTAATATGAAGTTTGATTGTTTAGGTTAAAATAATAGTCATTATATTGGTATTTTCTCCTTCCTAAATGAATGTAAAACGAAATAAATTTGTTTCAACTGAAGTATCAGTTGAAAAAAATTTATTTCGTCAAAAGCAGGATCGGAAAAACAGCAAGATAGACTTTCATTAATCTGAAATAATCACTGTGGAGATCTACTACACTCAGCATAAAGCGTAAACAGCATCTGGATTTTCAACACTAATTCAGTCAAGTCAGTGCTTCTATATGGTTCAGAAACTTGGCGCGCTACGAAAGGCATTTCCAACAAACTAAAGACATTCATCATATGAACAGCTGCCGCCTACACTCACTCGATACTGACACTGAAGATCAGATGGCGAGAAAGGATAAGAATAAGCAACAAGGAACTCTGGAGACGAACCAACGAAGCAAGAACCTATCATCCAACAAATATGCAGTGGAAGAAAGTGGAGATGGATTGGGCATAGAGTGAGAAGGCTGACTGGGGACATTACACGCCAGACCAGGCTGTTGATTGGAATCGAGAGGGGAAACGACGAGTTGGGGATCTCAGGAGAGGGTGACATGGAGGGGATGATGTGATGAAGAAATGAAAGCTTGTGGGCAGTCGTGGCGCCAGGTCCAAAAGACTGCAGCGAAGAGAGTGCACTGTAGGCGTGCTACTGAAGCGGTATGTTCCACTAGGAACCCAAGGGAAAAAATAATAATAATAACTGATATTTCGCTATGCATTGCTGCTAATAGCTTTGTCAAAGTTACATTAAACCGGAATTTATAATTTCCCCTAAGCTAATATATATGATAACTTCATTCTATGCAGTCAAATGTTCTGATATTTCTTATCTCCTGTGTGTTTAATTGTTATGTCAGTATGTGGGAGTGGGTTGTGAGACCAAGTCAAGTTACCATGTCTTATTCCCTCATTTCTATTTAGACAATTTTGATTCGACTTGATGTGAAAACATTCTGCTATGAGACATTCCCTATCATTTATAAAGCTTTTCTGAATAACTTAAACGTGATCAAATTCGACGTGGCCACCTGAAATTTTGGCTTGACTGAAGTGTTTTCAAGTTCTTTCCAGTTCCACTGGACTTATAGAAGGTCGAGTGAAAACTTTCCAATGTTCATTTTGTCTAGTATTGATCTCACATGAAGTTTGTTCTATGTGTGTACTGCAACTGCATCTCAGTGTGAGCAGAGGGATCTCGTCGTTCAAATGAACTACAGTCCTCTGTAATATGTTTAATGTTCTGTAGAATACTCTGATGAAATTGCATTTGTTGAGTATTCTCCTTATATCATCTAATGTGTGTGTGTGTGTGTGTGTGTGATCTGTAGTGGATGACAACGATTGTTGAGGTCCAATGCCCGAATGTTTTTCAAACGATCAAATCTCAACTCGGTTTGTATATTTATAAAGTTGCGAATGTATCATCTATGTATCTTAATTAAATACGTGGTTCGATAGCGTTGGTCGAGATCATGGATGGATTTACTGCGAGACATGAATAGGTTAGCAACGACAGGGGACATCGAACAAACCATTGCTACTCTATTTGTTTGTTGAATTTAAACAAAATTAGAGTACTTTCATGATAAGACTGCGGCTCAGAGGATAAAGTACGAAATCACGATTCCTTTCATTAATTCACTATAGTATGCATACTTTAAACTAATGGTCAATAGGTGTAACAGCGTACAAATTTAGCCACCTGATTTCAGTATCGTATCTCAAGCTGATGAACATTTCATAGCTTTGGCCAAAAAAATCTTATGCTTATACTCGTACAACATACTTACCGTCGTCTACCCATATTTTAGTTCTGCCACCTCAAGTTGAAATGTTAGAATTTTATTATTATTTGTCCCTTGGGTTCCTAGTGGAACATACGGCTTCCGTAGCACGTCGCCATTTCACTCTGTTCTCTGCAGTCTTTTGAACCTGGCTCCACAACTCCTCATAACCTATCATTTCCTCATCACACGATCTCCCCCATGTCACTCTCGGACGCCCAACTTGTTGTCCAATCACCAAATCACTAAATGCGCAGAAATCTGCAACCAGTTCTCCATCCTCATTCATTATTTCACTGAGTGCTTCTTGACCCATGATGAGTTCTCTTCCTGTGTTGTCCGCTTCAAGTTTGGCATTCATGTCACCCATTACAATTTTTGATGTCGCCAACTGGAGTTTTGTCTAGAAA